CCTCTGCAGCGCCGGTTCGATCCCCGGCCACGCAGACCTCTCCTGCCGCACCCGCTGCTCCCCTCAGCAGTGTACTTCGTCAGTCTGCCTGTTCTGTTCCCCTCTCTGGCTCTGGTGAATTCTTTCACCGTCCCGCGATTCTGACTGTACCCAGTGCTTATATAAATAAATAAATAAATAAAATCTTTAAAAAAGAAATCATGCTTTCAACCCACTGGATCTGAGATGAGACAGGAAGTGACAGGAAGAGAGAATGGAAAAGAAGAAAGCCATCGTGGTCCTCAGTTTCTGAGCTAAGAGAGAGGGACATAAACCGTCCATCCAGGGATGGACAGCAGGGCAGGCTGTTTAATGCCCCCTTAACACATTTAATACCCTCTGAGCACAGCATTTAAAGATCTTCACAGTGTGGCCCCGACCTGCAGGTCCACTCTGAGGCGCTGAGTTGCCCAGCTCACACCTGAGACTCTACCTGAGCAGAGACACAGCGCGTGTGAAATCACATTTCCAGCCCGAGACAGAGCTTCGGAACAGCCTTTCTCACCCGCACAGACTCAGCCTCAGAAGCCTCCTGGACACCAGTGGACCTGCATGACAGCCCTACTGGCCGTTCCTCACCTCGAGGGACGCGGGCTCCTTCCGTCTCCCCTGCCGGCAGGCATTTTCTCTTCTGTGTGCCAGGCTCGCGCTCAGCCTTCCGCCTGGACGCCCTTCCACTGCTCAATTTCTGACTGTGAAAACTACTCAACCTTCACGTCTCCGTTCAGAGGTTACCTCCTCTAGGAAGAAGCCTAAGAAAGTGCCCAGCACATAAAGACTGCACAATGATATTTTCTAAATGAATGAACCACTTAAAATAAATGTCTCCATGACATCGCCCAGCAGCAGCCTAAGGGTCGTGCGTGGAGCTCGGGACTGGAACTAGCTGGGCTCCAATCCCGCTCCATCATCACTCCCTGTGTGACCTTAGCCAAGTGACTCTACCTCTCGGAATTCTGTAGCTTTGACAGTGCAGTACACATCACATGGGGGGGGGGTAGGGGATGCCAGGGGATGGAAATTTAATTTCTGATCATGGGGATTCAAAAGCAGCAGTGCTGGGTGGGGGGCTTTAGAGTGGAAAATGGAGAGGGGTGGAAATTTGAGGTGCTGGTTGAAATATGGGTATGATTTTGCCAGGAGGATGAGGAAGGGCAGGTTGTCAGGAGGCAGGAAGTGGTCAAGGATGGTACCTCTTCCCAATAAAAGGAGCTGCAAGACCTAGGGGAGTCAGACTCAGACTATAAGGGCAGGCAGGGGCAGTGAGCTCACACTGGCTGCAAGAGCACATCAGTGCCCCGTAGGTTGCAGCCTTACCCAGCACAGCCCCGGGAAGGCCACAGCAGCCTGGGCCCTGCATGCCTGCTAAGGTGGCAACAGCCCTGTGAGGATGCTGTCAGTGTGCAGGTCACACATAAGCACAAGAAAGAGACGGGCCTTGCCCTTTGGCTATAAGCATTTGCCACTCAGATAGATACTGCCCATCTGCTGGGCACTGCCAGCGCTGGGCACCAGAACAAAGCAAACCAAGACCCAGGCCTTACAGAGCTTGCATTCTAATATGGAAACACCCACTGGGCAAATAAGCAATTAAATGAATTTAATTACAAGGTCCAGGAGGTGAAAATTCTATGAAGGAAAACAGAGTAGATAATCGTGGGGCGGGTGGTGGGGTGGGGTCTCAGATGAAGTGCGAGGAAAGCACCTCTGGAGAGATGGCACAAGCAGGGTATGAATGAGGTAAGGGAAGGAGACTGGAAGTGATGGGCAGGAGCATGTTCGGTGCAGGGAGCTAACGCCCAGCCCCTCGATGGGAATGAACTTGGGTGTTCACAGAGAAGTGCACAACCTGTGTGGGCAGGGAGGGAGCTTGGCAGAGGGGGCAGCAAGGGGGTGAGCAGATTCCACAGCCCAGGTTGACCCTCCCTGCCTGTGGGGTGATAGAACCTGCTTGCACCAGCTGCTGTGTGGGATGAGGGCACAGCAGGGAGCCCAGGCTGGGCCAGCAGTGGCTTGGACCAGCATGACAAGACCAGGCGTGGTGAGACGCGACTGAACACGCGGGATAGCCTAAAGGTGGAGGCCTCAGGTCTGACATCTCATGCTAGGAGGCTAGGGGAGGGCTCAAGTGCGCCCCTCGAGTTAGAGGCCTGTGTGTGTGATTTGTCTGTCTCTCGGTGAGCTCCCATAAGTCAGGTGCACACATGACTGGTGAGGGACAACAGCTAACAGTCCCCTCCCCTGAGGAAACAGACGTCAGGAAGTGCAGCCGTGGTGTGCCTGGCCACCTAGGACCCACGCCAGAAATGCAGCAGGTGCCACAGAAGGATGCGTGGCCCAGTCTTGGACATTTATTTATTTATACATTCAAGAACTGGGTTGTAGACCAGAGTTGTGGGGGGGTGGGTGAGAGCAGTCACTGGAGAGAGTGGGGAGCAGAACAGGCAGATCTACTGAAATACACTGCTGAGAGGAGCAGCGGGCGAGGCAGGAGAGGTCTGCTGCACTAAGGCTGCTGACTGCTGAGAGGGGCAGGATAACTCAGCAAGCCTGGGCAGAGATCTGCTGCCCTTCCACCCACAACAGACCCCAGCCAGGCCTGGCACCTCCTGGGAAAGGGAACTAGCTACAGAGGGGTCTGGTGGGGCCAGCACCCTCTCACTCTGGGGCCCCTACTCTGTGGGACCCATCTCTGTGGCCGGGCGCTCCTGCCACACTCACAGAGCACCCTGCTTGGGGACTTTTGACAGTCTCTTCATAAATGAAAAGGAAAATGAAGGCAAATCAGGGGGTGCTTCGGCTCGGATGAGGGGTCCTAATAGGACAGCAGGTGCTTGACACAGCACATGTCCCCCCACACCCCACATGTCCCCCCACATCCCACATTAGTGCTGGCTGCAGACTATGCAGGGACAGACAGGAAAGGCACCCCACAGCGCACTAATGCCTCCCTGCTGTTCTGACTTGGCTCTTATCCACCAAGAGCAGAATGAGAAGACCTGCTAAGAGGCCTGGACCTCTCGCACCCTCAGACTGAGATCAAGAATCAGGTGGGGGACACTTTGCACAGAGCTGTTGCTACAAATGTGCTTTTAATTTGTTTTTTAAAACAGGTGGAGAGGAAATCCTCTTTCCTTTTAGTGAACAAATCAGAGTTGTGCAGACAGGGCTGTTTTTGAGTATGCACAGAGCTCCCCCATACTTTCAGGGACTTTGATTCCTTGAAAAGATTTTCCTCTCTGTTATGCTTTAATGAGATCCCTTCCTACCCCAAAAGTAACAGTCTGAAGAAGGTGGGGTGCAAAGTCCTGCTGTGCTATTCCTGAGCCCATGACTGAGGGAAGAAATAACAAAAGAAAAAAAGCCACTTCACATTTTGGGGGTACATTCAGGCACCCTAAGAACTCAGCCAGTTCATAAATGACTTCATTTGAAAACTTCCAGCTTGCAATTCAGTCATTCTTCAATGAGAAATATGCGATTTGCCAAACATGAAATGGAATCATTAAGCCCTGACAAAATCGGAGGCAAAGCAAAACTGTGGCCGTGTGTGCCCCGTGCTTCCTTCTCCTTAACAAATTAGGTGTCCCTGCGGAAGGCACTCCAGACAGATGCTAGCATGGGCTCTGGCTGGAAGAGGGATGACATTGATCATCAACATGCAAGCAGCTTGACGATTTCAAACATTTAATTACCCACTCCACCCGGCCCCCAACACATACACAGAGAGAGAGAGAGAGAAGGAATTTGTCTTCTAGCTATCTCTCTTTTTAAAGCACTGCACAAACATGGAATGTGCCAGATAAAGATTTCTGTGATTAAACCAAAGTATAAGATGAGAGTGTAGAGAACGAGACACTTAAACACACAAGTGCATGCTAAAACTGGTGAAATCTGAATCAGCTTTGCTGTCACTGATAGTATTAGATCAAGCTTCAGGGTAAACTGGACTCCTGGGAAGATGCTCAAAATGCTAATTTCAGGGTTCTGCCCCCCAAAATCCTAACCAAGTTGGTTATGAATGGGGCACGGGAATTTGCATTAGCCACCAGAGCACGGAACGGTTCCATCACAGGTGAGTGTAGGGTCACACTTTAGGAAACTGCCAGATCCCAAGCAGGTACCCAGGGGCACATCTAGGAGGCTCCCTGTTATGGGGCAGCGGGAAGAGTGGGCAGGAGCTCAGGCCACCTACATAGCAGGCTGCTCCTGGTGTCCAGGGACAGAGCTTGAGGCACCTTCTTCTAAGTGCAACGCTCCAACCCTGGGGCCCAAGGGAGCTGAAAAGGGGCACAGGAGCCCCTGGGGCTGTGACCATGTGGCATTTAGGGTAAGAAGTAGATTTGCAATTCCATCATCCTCATGGCAACTTTTTACTGAGTGTCAATTACGCACAAGCAAATGGCATCTCATTGAATTCTCACCACCCTTCTCTGAGGGGATGGTTACTTATTATCCCCATCCTACAGAGAAGAAAGCTGAGGCCCCCAAAACTCAAGGTTACATAAACAGGAGGGGAGTCGCGAGTCGAAGCCAGATCCGCTTGGCGGAAAACCACCGCGTGCTGCCACCTTCCTCTCTGACAGGCTCCTTCTGGTTCTCATCTCCTCCAGGACAAAACACCCCACTTAAAATAATTCACACTTGTGGGATTTGCAAGGGGAAGGAGAGGGGGAGCTTTTCCCAATCCTCGTTTCAGTGGCATTAATACTCCTGTCCAACGTACAGCAGATCCACCCCGTCAAGGTCCCCCTTCCAAGGCGCCATCCCCTCCCTCATGCTCATTCCTATTCCTGCCCGACCTTACTCCTCTCTGGCCTTTCTACTTTCCTCCTTTTCTGTCCCCAGAGTCCAACATTACAGGCTCAGCACGTCCCTTCCTTTCCTTGTGTCCTCCACCCTCCTATGACACAACTTTCAAAAGAAATGGAGACTTGTTCCTGGCCAGACAAATGACCTACCGTTTTCGAGAGGACACTGGGGGATCTTGTTGGCCCAGAGGTTCCAAATATAGTCCATGTTCCACTCGAGGCACACTTGATGGTCTTTGAAAGGGCGTTCAAAAGGGGGGACCGTCTTCAGCAGGGTGTAATTCTTGGCTACCGCACGGAGCAGGTTTTCCTCCCATTTAACATTCAAGTCCCCGCCACCATATCTGTGAGTAATCCAGGCGCGTAGTATCACCGCGGAGACAGAGATGGAGTGTCGGATGAAGTAGTCATCTCTGTACACCATGATGCTTGGAAATTTCACATGTACTATTTGTGTCCTACTGGTGTGAAGATGTTTCTCGTTCTTCCACCTTTTTTTGTACACAGGAATGCTACTTCTGAACTCAGATGAAACGACTGCTTCCAAGTTGACAACACAAGGCTGAGAGCATAAATACTCAACCGAGACTTCAGAGACATTGCGCACATTCCCTTCAAAGACGGTGAAATAAATAAAGTCTTTGTAAACCACGCTCTGCTCGGCGTTGGGCATCACCGACGTCGTCAGGGATGTCTGCCTGCCCAGCGATGGCACAAAATTCTGAAAAGGAAAAAAAAGGGAGAAAGAAACAGAGTTTGAAAACCATCCTGTTAACAGATATAGGAATCACTCTTTTTCTGTGATAAAAAATATCCTTCTAATAAAAAATATCCTCTACCGAAAGCCATGGAGGTGGAAGACAAGTGCTGTGAAAATCACTACTGAACCATCAGGGACAAACCAATACGCACACCAGAAAGGAAGGACCAGGGCACATGAAAACCTGTCCCCGGACTCAGTGGCAGCTGCTGATGAAAATGTGACTTTCAAAGCTACTTGGCAATCCACTCCAGAGTTGGTCTTCAAAGGGAGGAGCTAGTTCATAAGAAATACAGTAGCAGTGAACCTGCCTAAGAGGCAAAGCGAGACAATCTAGCTTCAGACATTTCCAAACTATTGTCCTGACTTCACAGGGTGATCAGATGCAGCCAAATCAAAGGGGGAATGAACAGTTCAAAGTGGACCAGAAAAGGAACATACCAGAGAGGCCAAGCTGGCCCCTTCTGTCCCGCTAGTTCAGAGCCAGGACAAGCATGCATGCCGGACCAGCCAGCAGGAGGTTTTCATTGCTCCACATCACACACAGAGGCTTGGACCACAGCCTGTGCTGTTGGATTCCTGCACCAGACTTGGTGCCACGTGTGCCATAGACTTAGCGGCATATTGTGTTGGGCTTTGTTTTCTTTAATCCAGTTTTCGGAAGGACAAAGTCCTTTCTATGTGGCTATTCCTTCCAGAGACAATCTGGGAAGTTCAGTCATGAAATCAAGGCAATGCTTGCAGCACAAGGCACTGACCTATGGATGCTCAGAGTTCTAAATATGACTTGATGGTTCAGGCACTCAGAATACAATAGCATAAGGGTTACTTTGGACTATTTCACACCCATGCAAGCGGCAATTAAGCACAGAGAACAACAAGTGGTGAGAGGATGCAGAGAAACTGGGCCCCTTGGGCACCCTTGGTGGAAGGTAAAAACGGTGCAGCCACTATGGAAAACAGCACAGCAGATCTTCCACACGCAGAAGAATTGCAAAAAGATCCAGAAATCCCGCTTCTGAGTATCCCCAGACTTCACAGTGGGGACTCAAAGAGAGTCACAGACACACACCCCAGTGTCCACAGCAGCATTCTTCACAATAGACAAAAGGTGGAAATAACCCAAATGTCCATTAGTGGATGAACAGATGGATAATACCAGTTACACAATGGAGTTTATTTAGTCTTCAAAAGGAAGGAAGTTCTGACACTTACTCTAGGATGGGTGAACTTGGAGGACATTATGCTAAACGAAACAAGCCAGTCACAAAAATAAATACTACGTGATTCCACTTCTATGAGGTAACAAGTCATCAGATTCCCAGAGGCAGAAATGAGCATGGTGGCGGCCAGGGGCTGGGGTGAGAAGGGAAGGAGGATTTATTGTCTGCTACTCCCAGAGTGTGAGTTTGGGGTGATGCAAAGAGCTTTGGAATGAAGGGTGTGATGGCTGCCTCTGTGTGAGTATGCTGTCACTGAACTACACACTTAAAAGTGGTTAAAATGATAAGATTTTATGCTGTGCACAACTTTACCTAAATTTAAAAAAAAGGTCAGTGTCTTCTCCAAAGAAGGAAGAAATAAGGTCGCCTTCCTTCAGTGTTGGCTGAGGACAGTAGGAGAAGCCAAAGTGGGTAAGACGTGAGTCAAGTATGAAGGGGGCATGTTTGCGAATAAGTGACAGAGGCAGGACAGAGTCTGAGCTCCAGGCAAACAAGCAGCCACCCTAAAGGCACAGGACACCAGGTGGGACCCATCCTGAGGGGGGCTCTGGGACTGGCTCTGCTGGAGGAAGCGTTTTCAGGTGGCTTTAGGAGGAAGAGACATTCTTTGGGGAAGAGGCTGTAAGTGGTACAAAGAGCCTAAGAAGGGGCCAGAGGCAGGGAAACACCTGGATGTATTTGGGGACTAGCAAGCAGCTTGGTTTGGGGGGTAAAGGCATGAAAGAACAGGGGAAAATGAGGTTGAGAAGAAAGGCAGGGCCCTTACTCTGGAGGATGCTGAATCCCAGCCTGAGGAATGCAGGCTTGATACTGACAGCAAAGAATCAATGAAAGTTTCTGTAAAAGGCGATGGTGTTTCCACTTTAAAGCACTGACAGTCAATTAGAAACAAGATTGACGATCAAAAAAAAGTGAGCAAACGACAGAGTCCATCAATACGTAAGTTCTCACTCAGTGGAAACAAAAGGCAAACTGAAACTGCACTGAGATCCCATTTTTAACCTATCAGATTCAGAGATCAAAAAAGGCCCGTTACACATCGTACTGGCCAGAGTGCAGGAGGCGCTGGCCCTCCGGTGCTGCTGACGGGCGTTATCTCTGTAGAGGGTGGCCAGGCATCAAAAACATAAACGTAGGCCTCCCTGGTGGCACAAGAGGTTAAGCACTACACTATGAAGCAGTTTGCAGCCTCTGCAGCATGAGTTCGCTCCCCGGCCGGCCAGGGAGAAACCCACATGGCGAGCAGACCTCTCCTGTCTCGCCCGCTGCTTCCCTCAGCAGTGTATTTCAGCCAGTCTGCCTGATCTATTCCCCGCTGTCTCCGGTTAATCTTCTCATCCCCCACATCTCTGGCCTGTACCCCAGCTCTTGTATACATAAATAAATCTTTTTAAAAAAACCATAAATGCACCCAGCCTCTGGTCCAATCATTCCTCTTCTAGGATCTTAGCCTCAATGATTTTATGCTCAAAATTGTGCGAAAGGATTTATGTGCAAATTCTTACTGAGCAATGCTTCTAACAGCCAGAGATAGCTAGAAAACCCAAATGTCCATCGAGAGGGCCTCCCCCACCGTGGAGTACTACACAGCTATTATTTAAAGATGATCATCAAGGACAAATGATGGAATGATCTCCAAAGTTTGGGCGTTTTTTTTTTTTAAAGCAAACTTCAGAAATACTGTTCAGAATTTTTTAAAAAGGAAAAATATATATATACATACTATATATGCATATGTGGTATATATAGATATTATATATATACCCGCTTAGCTCTACACATGCGCTGGGAGCTTGCACAGAGAATGGCACATGTTAGAGACAGATCTGTACTATTTATCCTTCCTTATCTTTTCAATTTTGTACTCTATGACTAGTCCCCCCAAAAGGGGGGGAAAGTGAGGAGAGAAGCAGCAGCCTGAAAGATGAAATGGAAAATGTAGCTTCTCCAAATGTTAGGAGAGTAGCAGAGGGCTGGCCGTGGCTTCTGATTAGTCATGGGAAACCTGTGGGAAGAAATATGTAAACAGGGGGTACAGACCACACTGTCCGCCCCCACAGCGAGAGGTCTGTTTTATGTTCTCACTTATGCTTCCAAATTACAGGGGGGGGAAACAAATATAAAAAATAATCTTATAATTAAGAGCAGAGAATGTTGCAGAGGATGAGCGCTCGGTGACGAGCCGGCCCTTCTGTGCCGTTTTCTCGGAAGAGGAAATGGCAACAGAGAGGTGATTTTCCCCAACATATCCCAGCTGGTGGCTCGCAGCGGCCAGCCCAGACGCTGGCTCCTTCCCTGCACTCCCACGTCTGCACCCCAGCGCACACAACAGCGAGACTACAGACTTGACATTTCACGGCTGCCTGGGAACTCCAGGCTGAATTCTGTATGAATAGAGATGCACCCGGCATTTGTCCCAAAGCCGTGGTTTATTCAGCTGGCCAGATGTGCCAAGATGTAGCCTCCTTCTCAGGACACGAATCAAGCATGGGCATTTGGAGGCAGGCTGGGTGAGAAAAGACAATCTCCGAACCTATACAGTGTTGCCAATGAATGATATCTCAAAATTTTTTTTTTAAAAAGTGAATCAGGATGTGAAGCCCAGAACAGAGTTCAGCTGAAGCAGGAGGCAGTTACACTGAGGCAAGTCAGCCCAGCACAGCAGCCGCTGGGCGGCTCGTCCCCCTCAGGCCAACGCCTTGGTGCCTCTCTTCCTCAATTACACAGCTAAGAGACATTTGCTTAGTGAGACAATAGGGAGCAGAGCCCCGGACATGCTGTGGTAAGTTAAATATCACATTGTGTTCCTTTTCAAAGAATGACTTAAGACCTCTCCCTTATTCTTTTCATGTACTATACCTTAAAACCTCACCCACGTCCAGTTCTCTCACTTTGATTTTTTTTTTTCATCACCCTTTTAATGCTGACACTAGGAACTCCAGTGAAAACCTCTTTTAAACACAATGCTGGGGAGAGGCTATTTGAGTTCATGAGATTTCATTGCAGAGTGCAGTTATTAACGATGCTCATTAGTTTACATCTTATTGCTAAAAATGCTTCCATCCACTTTTGCGCATTAATAAGAGCCGCGTGCTGAGCGTGGCTTCAGTGCTACTTGGTGACCCATGGCTCCCCGTACTTGGCAAGATCAGTGGTGACAGACCAGAGTAAAGGCACTGAGACACCTGACTGGGTGACCTCTCCAGGGGCTTCCCTGGAAATCAGCTTTAAAGGAATCTCCATATACATATAGGAAGGTGAGTTCATTTCCACCTGCTTCAATGTCTCAAGTGCAGCAAAGTAAATCCAAGGTTGATGAGTTCTAGAGGGATGCTATCTGATATGGGAGCTCTTGTAATGCGGCTGGTCCAGGCTGGAGGTGCTGTAAGTTTAAAATTGATGCTGGATTTCAAAGAGTTAATCTAAAAAAACTGTAAAATATCTCTTTCTCTGGATGACATGTTGAAATGATAATAAGATACAGTGGATTAAATAAAATGTTCCTCAAATAAATTTCACCTTTTACTTTTTTAACCTGTCTAAAAAAAAATTGCAACTACATAGGTGGCTCACCTCTGTGGCTCACCTTGTCTTTCTAAGGGAGAACAACTGTTCTAGATTGGAGGTCATCACCCTTTCCTGTGAAATAGAGCCATATGGTAAATATATGTAGGTTTTCAGGCCACCCAGTGTCCATCACAACCACTCAGCACCTTATGGTATCAAGGACGTTGCCAG